AATGATAATATTGAGTACTTAAAATGTCTTATTTTAAAGACCTTTGACTATGATGCATTATGTTATACAAGAATTCATTTGTTTGGAATATTACTGACAATTTTTAATCAGGTCAAATCAGGATTTTTGCGCGTTGTTTACACCTATACAAATGCAGAAAAAACCCATTTTGATTTCACCTTTTGTTGTGTACATACATCACATTTTAAATGACTTGCATAAAAAGAAAACAGAGAAACACCGAATCAACACTATATCTTACTGATGATCAATCAAAACCAGGGACCTATGTTAGTATATAGGTCCCTGCTAAAACTGTGCGTTAGTGGCAATAGAAGGCTTGGCTGGCTACAGTAGCTAGACAACTTGTCCATGTAAAGGTTTCCCACATATTTGTTTTATAGAAAAACAAATATAGTTTGGAGTTTGTTTATCTTTATACCAAATGACAGGGTTTTTCATCAATTCGAAATGATTTCTGATAAAATTTTTCATAGATAACTGTTACCATTAAAAAATTAATATTTTTAGCTCTCAGAAAAAAAAAACGTTTATGATCTATTTACCCCTTGTCTAACTAAATAGCCCCTTTTCCTTAATCTTATGATAAAGCTCTCATAATAACTCGAGATAACTTTTGTTGGGATCCTCTTGCCAAACTATTCTCGGTGCAAAAGCAGAGACATATCAAAGTACTGAAAGTACTGTTAAACGGAGGCTTCATGTATGAGAGAACACATAAGAAATATATATCATACATAGCTGTAAAGAATATTTTGAGAAATATTGTTTTTTTTTTTTAAGTCAACATTTTTTCAACGGATACTCCAATATTTATGAGGTTTTTGGGGATTTCTAATTTGTAATGATTAAAGTTCACTGTTATTTAGATGAGATACTTTCAATATTAAACCTTTCAACTAGTAAATAATTGACTAGGCCTGGTTGACATAAAACTTAGACGGGATAACTTTTTATCCCAGTCTCACTTAAGGAATATATAGTGGAAAAGTGAGACTGATATTAAGTGAGATATATCTTGACAGATTTGACAACCAATATTTCTGGAATTATTAAATGTTGTATTTTATCATATGACAGATTTAACCCAAAAATGTCTTTCTTTACTCTTATACCAGTGGAAATGGTTGTCTTTTTCAGTTTGTCTGTTTAAAACAATCATTAACAATGGGACCTGATTACAAATTACGTAGAGAAAAGTAATAAATATATAACTATGGTTTCTGCTTTTCAGTAACTCTGTTCAAACAATCAGTTCTCCAATGATGTATGTTAAAAAAAGTTGACATAAATACCAATGATTAGAAATACATGTAATATTGTATATAAAAAAATAATTAAAGTTTGAGAAGTGAAAGAGGTAAAACAAAAGTATCATTGCAAAGGAACAGATCAACGATATGGCAATAAGACAACTTATTTCAGAAATACTTAATTTTTAATTAATTAGGATAAATCATATAATGTGATAAATCATGTAAATCCTATGAACCAAGATTTGGGTTGTACCCAAAGGTCAAAGTTTAGCAATGCATTTTGATCTCAATATCAGAGTTGCCTGTTTGTTTCTCTATCTAATTGAGGGTACCCCCAAACACTCAAACCGCTTGTAGAAAGTGTAAATCTGTTTTCATGTGTTTCCTAAAATTATACATAATTACAAATAAAGAATTCAAAACTAGACTTTTAATATCTCTGAGATATAAAGATACTGACCATTTGTTTATTCACCGATCCTTTTGTCATTTAATAGTTGATGAAACCTATTGATGCAAGCGTCAAAAATCGGCCGCAAACCAACGGCCTTTTAAGAATAAAAGGAGTGAAAATGAGAGAGACAACAGAGTATCAAGCACAAAAAATTCCATTACGAAATGTCTGATCTATTATTAAAACATATATCTGCGAGAAAACATTTGCATGCGGCATTGCAGGATTTTCTTCAATACATAATACAGGAACATTTAACTCCACACTTAGTTTGATACAGCATACTATTTTCTTGCTGAAGTTTTTTACAATTAAATATAAAACTAAAGTTTAAACTTATATATCTAGAGATAGTTTTTACTTTAATAAAAGAAGCAAGTGATAAGTGGGGTTCCTCGATCACTTTCTGCGGGATGTTACCCCCCCCCCCAAAAAAAACTCCCTCTAATATCTGCCACTTCATTTCTTCGCTCTCGTTTTGGTGTGAGAATCGGTGGAAAAGGTCGGCATATTGGAAAACGCGCTTTATTATTGATCGTTGGAGAATCTCCTAATATTCTGTCTGATTAAAACTTAACAGTAAATCACATTTTTTTTACATAATCCGTAGGAAATGAATATTGATACACGTCATTTTAAAAATATTAGACAAATCCTGTTGATTTAGTAAAAATTCAAACTGTTTGTTTACTGGTATGTGACGCTATCTTTGTTTTAAAGATGCACACGCCTATCCGGTTGTGTTACTATAGTTGCTAAAAATAGAATTCTCAAGGTAATGAAAACAATTCCACCGATAGATGGTGCTTGAGAAATCTTTCCTGTTTATTCCATGGGCAAGACAATCCCAATAACCGGAGGTCATACAGCCTCCGTTTAATAAGAGAGGGACCGCTGAAATCTTTGCAGCACTCTAGATTTTTCATGACGTTTCAAAAATTCGAGTTCCGAATGGAAAATCATCTTCCGAATTCCGCAGGCCCTCACCGGAGGCATAGAAACTATAAACAGTATGGCGTTTCATCATAAGAATGGGTAGAAAACATCGCTAAAACTTCAATTTTATGCAAAATTTACTTGTGGCATTAATCCTAGGAGGATTAGATACTTTCGTTTGTATCATGTGTATGACGACAAAGAATTGTAGAACAAATTTAAATACAGTAAATAGATGAAATCCATCTAACCCTATGTCTCGAGTTGCATTTGTTCAGTCTGTCTTTTAAAAACTATAACAATAAAAATACATTATAGAATGTATTTTATAGTGTAGGATGAGACCAATTATGACGAGCTCATTTGTTTGTAATGTTGATTTTGCAGTTGTGTGAGTGTATTAATTACTTGGTTTTTAATACATACATAGGTGTTACAGCTGTGTTAGGTTTCAGGTTGGTGTATGACATATGTTGTTTGTTTTTAGACTTTCATTAAATAATTATTTTTCAAAAAGGCTGAAATTAATGTTTTTTAGTGTATTATATTGCTGTATAGAAAAATAAATCTATATCATTATATTTTTGATTTTTTTTAACTACATATCTACATTATTTTGGCATTAAAAAACAAAACAAAATACAGTTAAAAATACACCATCCTAAAACCCAGATAATGTTGAACATGAATCTAGTCCAGCAACTCATACATTGTATGTTTTACTGGTTTTTAAAACAATGTTTAAGTACTAGACTAGTGCAAATTTTTTAAATAAAATTTAAAAAAAATAAAATAAATACCCCATGATGCTTTCACATGTTTCAGCTTTCCTCCCCACCACAAGTGCTTGAGGACAGGACCCCCCCCCCCCCACCCCCAAATAACCCTCAGGCCTATTAAATTTTTCACATAAATTTAATATATATGGATGACACATTTGTGATATAATTATCCTATCAATTAGAAAATTTGCTTAAACCAACATTTTATAACAAAATTTCTAACCACTCTCTATAGTTGATTTTTATATAAAGAATGTAGGGTAATTTATAGAACATTTGTTTTAGGTAATTTTTCAATTTGTTAACGTTGGTATAGATCTTATCACAAATATGTCAATGGAAGATTATTTAAAAAAAAAAGCGAAAAAGCCCGGGGGTCTATATCAAAAAGGGGGGGGGGGGTTCCTGTCGTCAAACCTGTGGCCCCGGTGGTTCCTAGAAATTTTAAATTTTTTTTAAATTTTTCCCATGTAAAACTTGGATTCTAAATCATGGCCCCATTCTACCCCGGGGGTCATAAATTGAACAATTTAGAATCTACACTACTCCAATGCTTTAACCAAGTTTTTCTGGCTGTGGTTCTTAAAAAAAAGAATTTTTCCTTTTATATTACATTCTTTTAAACTTGGCTTCCTTATTGTGACCCTGCACTACCTTCAGGGGTCATGATTAAATAATATAGAATTTGCATACCTTAGGAATCTTTCCCCATAGGTTTCAGGTTTTCTGGGTTAGGGTTTTCAATAAAAGAAGATTTTTAAATTTTTTTTTCCAAATTTTATGTTAAACTTTGATTCCTTAGTGTGGCCCGATTTTAACAAATTAGAATCTACACTATCCCAGGATGCTTCCACAGTTTTTACTTTCGGGGCCCCGTGGTTCTATTTTTTTTAAGCCCCCCATTTTTGTCTCTGAACATCTCCCTTTGAGGGCTTTGGCCCCTTTATTTTAAAATTAAATCCCCTTCAACCAGGGATGCTTTGTACCAGTTTGTTTAAATTAACCCAAAGGTACTTGAGAATTTTTGTAGGACATAAAAGAAAAATGTCATTAGAAAAGCTCACTTGGTAAAAAATATGTTCAAAAAATACAAAAATATGCTTGGCTAATTTTAAGTTAGATTTATTGTCATACATTTAGGCCCAGTACAGACATTAGATATTTTAGTTTATACATGTATGCATCACATAGAAAAATTAAAATTTCATCACACTTTTTACAGTCCAAGGAGTGGGAAAATTTTGGAAAGAATACTCATTAATAATTTTGGAGGTCTTAATTCTTTTTTTTTACAAATACCATGGGAGAAAATGGCTCAGAAAAAACAAAAAAGTTTCAGATATTATTTCTTATTCATTTGCAGATTGTTGAAAAACCATACAACATGTCAATGTTTGTTTCAGTGCCGTTTTGAGCGCAGCTATATTTTATGAGCAACACAATTTTAAGCTTTACAGCTTACGAATAACTATTTGTTGTCTTATTCATCCTTAGATCCACTTAAAAAACCCTTAAAGCAGGTCAAGGTCTTTTGGGGGAAAAAATTGAATCTTGTAGAATCAATCAAGAGAGGTACTGTTACTCTGAAAATAGAAAAAGACAAAATCAATGAAGAAAAGAATTTAATAGCCCCATGAAATATACCTGTAAAACCTGGGGGTAATAACTGTACCTTTTTGGTTTTATTTAAAAAAAAAAAAATACAAAAGCAGTAAAAAAAAAAATCAACAATCCCCATGAAACAAGGACACCGCAAGGCGGAGCATCCCCTCACAAAGAACATATAAGATTATCACTCTATAAATCAAGGTAATACATGTATTCGGTATTTATCCTAATGCAAATTTTGATGTAAATAACACATTTACAGTCATGTGAAGCAAAATGATACATTTTAAACAAATTATTGTGATATAAATGAGTAAAAATTGCCACTTACTTAATAGATTTATGGTGGTCAGGATAAATTCACCCATAAAAATTTATGCATTCTTCATTTCCTCTGCTTGCAATCTGTGTCTGTTGTTGAGAAGAGTGATGTCTGACATACCTGGAGATTACATGAACAAGTGTTCATCTTTACATGATGTAAAAATTTAACATCCTTATTATACATTCTTGGATATACAAAAAAGTAAATAATACATCTCAATACTATGATCAAGTCTTTAAAATGTTGAGAAACTCTCAGGCCCCTTTTGTGGGAAGGAATTTCAGTTTTTGGGACAAATCTCTGTTGAGCAAATAAAAAAGGAAAAGAAAAACATATGAGATTTAAATAATATTTATTTAAGGGAAACATTAAAGCAAAGGTAGTTTCTAATGTTCGAATATCACATACCAGTATTATATTGATGGGGGAAGGGGGGGGGGGGCACAACATATACAGTGTACCCATTTACTGTTGAAAATATACACTAAAAGCCCCCAACCGGCCCCTCCTACACAAAATACTAGTAGTATTTTTCTACAGATTGTTCTGACAATTTCCTTCCCTTTTTATTTGCTTGTCTTCAAGTTTTTTTCCCCAGATAACTTGTCCTACATTTACACCCCCCCCCTTTTTTTAAAACGAAACGTGCCTGTATACTTGCTGATTTTTCCTCCTTGCTCACTGGTTCCTAAGGGCCTGAGTCTACAATGTTTATGAAGATAAAAGGAGCAACTTTTCAACAAGAGAACATTTTTATTCAGAATTAATAATGTTGTACCGACAACGACAAGATGTAAACATCATGCTGCATGGTCTCATGTTATACGTGTTATCTTTTTAATTTCTCTTTATAGCTGCAAAAATACATCATACATATCCACCTTATGTAAATTATTATTGATGTGCAGGCTATAAATAATAAAATATACAATATATTAGCAATATTTACCCCAAAGTCTTCGATGAAAACACTGCAGTTAATACGACCGGAAGTCTTTCTATGCCTCCCGGTGAGGGCGCTGCGAAAACATGAAGATAATTTGGCGCGAAAATGAGTTAGCGGTCCCTCTTATATGTCTCTGGCAAAAGTAATTACGCGTTTTGACCGGAAGTGACGTCATTTGACGACTTTTGACAATTCCGGCATTATTTCCGGCTGACATCACAGTCAGCAAGTCAGAAAAAAATTGAAAAACTCAAATTCAATCGTTTTATTTGATTCATTTTGATTCAAAGGAAAAACTTTGAATTTTCGACTACTTCCTGTTTTTACCGGAAGTACTTCTGATGGATGCTTTTTGTTGAGGATTGTGAATAAAAATATATGTTCTATTTGCCTTTAATCAATCCCGTTAAATTTTTCAAAAAATCTTAAAATTAAACACCCCCTCCTGTGTCGACCGGAAGTGACGGATGCGAAATTAAAAGACGTCATGCATAACTCAATAAGATGTTTTATAATCCCTGAAAATATCATGATTCAATCTTGAGTGGTTTACAAGAAGATGCTTGGACAAAATGACAACTTAAAAAAAGAAAATCGGACAAAAAATGCGACCGGAAGTGATTTTCAAAAAAATGAAAAAAAGGTCTGGAGATATTACAACAATGCATCATTCCTGAAAAAATCTTTGAAATCGGTTCAGTAGTTTCGGAGAAATCACGTGTACTATGAAAAGGGAAAAATAATAATAATAGGAAACATAAGAAATACAGTAAGGTCTTCCGAAGGAAGTCGGAAGACCTTAATAATAAAAATAGTGGAAAAGAAACCTAAGAATAACAAGAAGGTCTTCCGCTGAAGACGAAAGACCTTAACTAGACGAGCTTGTTGCAAAGCAACAAATAAGTCTTCCGTCTAATTCTGAAGACGATGATATCGAGATTGATAGACATTTACGGTTATGTGTGCAAAAAACGAGCCATTTACAAATACTTCCGGCCTGACCGGAAGTGACGGTATTTTAACGACTTTAAATGATCTCTGCCTCTGCTATTTATTATTTTGAACAACTTTCCTTCTATGATGCATAAGAAATTGTCAACACTTTTTGAGATATTAGAGAAAACGTTTTGGCCCCTCTGGATCCTTTGTTTTAGGGGCCAGCCCTTTTTCTTGGATATCATTTGAAAGATCATGCAATTCTACACTTCTTTTGTTCTATATGTCTTAACAAAATATTTCTAGGTAAAAAGATATCTTCGAAAAAGTGTTAAAAACTTTGAAATTCGTGATACGTCTATTTTCGGGCCATAGCGAGCGCCGACGTGCGGCACTTCCGATAAAAATGAAATACGTTATACATATCTACAGACTTTGGTCTATTATATCTGAAAGTTTCATGTTTCTTTCTTGAGCCATTATTGAGAAAGTCTGCGGACAACCAGACCCTTCAAAAATCATAAAATCGACAATATCTCCAAACCGGAAGTGACGTCATCAAATCGGAAAAAAATGCATAAGGTTCAAGTAATGTAACATAAGTCCTGAAAGTTTCATGGAAATCCATCGAGACGTTTTTGAGAAATCGCGTGCACAAAATCGGTAAGAAAAAAAGAATAATAACTAGAGCAAAGCTCGTTGCAAAGCAACGAGTAGGTCTTCCGTCCTGTTTGACCAGAAGTAGATTTTATTTTTAACAAAAGTGAGAAATAACGCCCAGAAATAGCTTGAATCCTCTAAAGCTATGTTAATTAATGCAAAAATGAGCCATTTCTTGCTACTTCCGGTTTGACCGGAAGTAACGACGACGGACGGAAAATAATTTTTTATTGTCCCAGAGACATCTGTTACCTAAAAACGTGTTGAGAACGGCTAAAATTCGCGTTTTCCGACTACTTCCGGTTTGGCCGGAAGTGACATTGCCGGACGAATTTTGACGACGCCAATACATTTAGCTTGACATTTTGAACAACTTTGCTTCTTTGATGTATTAAAAATTCTTTATAGATTTTGAGATATAAAGAAAAAACTTTTGGCCCCTTCAGGCCCCTAAATTTAGGGGCGTGCCCTTTTGTCGAGATACCATTTGAAAGGTCTTGGAATTCTACACTTCTTTTGTTCAGTATGTCTTAACAAAATATTTTCAGGTAAAAAAATATCGTAGAAAAGGTGTAAAAAATTTGAAATTCAAGATACGACTATTTTCGGGCCATAGCGAGCGCCGACGTGCGACATTTCCAATAAATTTGATATACCTTATGCACCTTTCCAAACTTAGCTCTACCTAACCTCAAAGTTTGAAGTTTCTATCTAGAGCCGTTTTTCGGGAAAATTGTGGACAAAATGACCCTTAAAAATCAGAAAATCGACGATATCTCTAGACCGGAAGTGACGTCATCAAAACGGAAAAAAACGCATAAGGTTCAAGTAATGTTCCATAAGTCCTGAAAGTTTCATAAGATTTTGTTTGGCCGTTTTCGAGAAATCGCGTGCACAAAATCGGTAAGAAAAAAAAAAAATAACTAGATACGATCTCGTTGCGAGCAACGAGTGGGTCTTCCGTCCAATTTTTGATGAAATGAGATAAGATTTTGACTGGGATTTTCATTCA